CTCTCTCCTCCTCTCTCTCCTCCCTCCTCTCTCTCTCTCTCTCTCTCTCTCTCTGAAAATCACTCGACGTGAAAAAAAATTGTAATTTTAATCGAACCGAACATCTGTGTGACAATTAATTCTTTCAGCAGGTGTGGTCAAGCTGCAATTACATCCTTCTTTTTTTTTTTTCTTTTTTTTTTTGTTCAGCATGTTTCAGCGAGAAAGCTAAAAGGATCGGTGGGGTGCGTTCGCGTGAAAAGCGGATTATCTTTGAGAATGGACGGCGATCCGTTCGTTCGAGCTTTGTGCGTGCACCTCACTTGCAACGAGTAATCTGTTTATCTCGCTCGCTTGCGGGCCTCGATCATCGTCGAGCACGAAGAATTTCGCGCGAACGAAATAGTGGAAAGTAGGCTTCTCCAACGAGAGATTGAAAACGTTTACTTTTGCTCGCGCGTTACGTTTCGGAAAGGGTCGAGGAACTCGCCTACTTTCTCGAGGGAAGCAAACTTCGATCCTTCCTTCCAAACACGAAACGAAAACGGAAGAGAAAAATAAATAATAGCGAGAAAATCGGAGGAGAAGTTAGGAGGATCGCCGATCCGTTTGAAACGAAATTTCGTGGAATTGGAGAAAATTCGGAGTGGAAGGAAGCGATTTTGCAGCGTCCATAAACAAAGAGCACACGATGCCGTGAAGACGAGGGCTCCCCGAGTGCGAGGATTACGAAAGCGTGACACGTTCACGCGGACTCACCGTTCAAGAAGTTTCTAGCTTTTCTACCGGCTACCAACTCCTGCCTCAGACGTATCTTTACCACGTGCTCTCTCTCTCCGCCGCCCCGCCGCCGCTCCTTTTTACCTTTTTCGCCCTTCTCCCTGCCGTCCTGCCATCCGCTCCCTGTGCTCAACGTCGCGTTGCCGGCCGCGTCCTCCTCCCGCCGATCCTGGGGCGACGACGTGGTCGAGTTCTCGGCCACCGCCCCTCGAGATACGTGGTCGGTTCGCACGATTTCGTTCACGTTCGCGTCCAGTTTCGTTGGTTTGCCGGGCACCGATTGGTGCGGGTGGCTATCACGCTCCTCGCTGGCCAGCGAAACCTCGTTCTCGATGGCGTCGAGTTCTCGGTGGCTGGTCTCGTTCAAGGCCGCCACGTGGTCCTTGAACCCGGCCGCCGCCAGCCACGCGATCGCCAACACCGCGAAGATTCTCGTCGCGTCCATCGTTCTCTGACTCTCTTTCCCTGTCTCTCTGTCCCTGTCTCTCTCTCTCTATCTTGCTCTCCTCTCGGCTAGCTACTTTTACTGGCGAGACGTAACTGCATCTCGGTCCGTGGCTCCCCTACCTGCAATAATAATTTCGTTTCGTTTCAATCGTGAGCCAGAGATTGAAGAACAGTATTTGGATCGTTCGATAATTACAGTTTACGAATGCTTGTTTGCTTATTGGATTTCGTAGAAGGGATAAGAGAAGTGCAGAGGAATCGTGGCTTTTACAGTTGCGCAAAGATACAGGTAAACAGTGTAACAGTATCGATCGTGAATAAAAACAACGCGATCCCGTGCAACGGATCATTGAACTGTGGCAATATATATATATATATACATTCTAAACATTCCGTGTATCCATCGTGTGTTTACCTTTCTATCTGCTTGTGAATGTAGGGAGATGTTTGTCTCGAGATAAGCAAAATTGAAAGAATTCACGAGAGAGACTCTTCGTTGTACACTTTTACGTCGCGACACGTACGAAACGACACGAACGGATCCGATCAGCCATCGAAGCGTATCTCCGATCGATTCGCATTTAACGATCGTTCGAAAAATGAATTCCCCAGATTTGTTATCGAAGAAGCAACGTCGAAGACGGAGCCTTCGTGCACGATGGTCGACTCGGGCACAACTGGCGAGTCTCTCTCTCCAGTTGGATCGGTTGGGCAGATCCGATCTGGGTTACCCGGCCATTCGTCTGCCCGTCCCTCTGTTCTTTCCTTTCCACCTTCTTCTCCTCGTCGTCATTCGCCGGCCCAACTCCCGCCATACTTCTCCCGTCTCCTTTCATCCACCGCGCGCAACGCTTCCCGTCCTCCTCTCATTCAAATCGAATTCTCGACGCGGGTCTAACGATCGCCCGACCGATTTCACCGCTTGGAATTTCGGCGTCCCAACTTTTCCTTCCTCCTTTTCTGCCTTCGTTTTCTTCCGTGCCCTTTGCTCTTCGCTCTTTGATTAACTTGCTTTTCTTTCTTTTTTTTTTTTTTTTTCAATTTTTTGGAATTACGACGAGATATGAAATTATTATTTTTTTTTTTCTTCCTTTCTCGTCGATCCAATTTTCCTCCACGAAGAAACGTAGAAAGAAATTCACGATCGCTCTCGCCGCGAGAAGGAAGACCACCAGCCTTGCTCGAGGTGAAATTCTCACGTGAATCTCACGTGACGTTCGAAGCTCGCGCGGAAAGCTCGTCGTGGAAAATTCCCGGCGCAAAGCGTCCTCTGTCAAGTGTCGTTGCACCATCGACACGAATAATCGTGGATTTTTATTAAATTCAAGTAGGCCGCTAATCCGGTTTTCAATTTATTTTTTTTTCTCCTCCCCTCGATGATGATGGTCTTTGAAAATTTTTCACTCGCGAACGAGTCTTTCCATTTCCCGTGTATAATCTGGGGAAGGAAGGTGAGAAAGAAAACGTGGACTATACGTTAACCGCGTTGATCAATAGAAAAGGGTGTCTCGAGCAAAGTTTGTTGTCGCGCTCTCGCTGCGCGATTTCACTGCGTCGATCACTCCGTTGAGATCGTGAGCGCGATCGTGCCAGGGAAAATTCGATCCGATAAGAATTTCAATTTCCCTCGATCTCTGATTCCTGTTGAATTCGGGTCGGGAGGAGGATTTGTTGAAGGATCGATTGGGAATAATTCGTGAAAATTGGTTTTCGACATTAAGCAGGCAAGATCCATTATACAAGTTTTCGTAATTCGATTGATCAAAAATGGTATGGTTGAAGTGCGTACGCTGGCCGAGGTTAAAAATTTTGTTTGCTTTGGGAATTGGGTCGTGTTTGGAATAATTTATCGACGAATGTTTGTAGTTGTTTTCGATAGGATCGATGATTAGGCTACGAAATACGATAGATCAGGCGACTCATCGTGACACGATTATCTGAATTATAATAAATCGAAATCGTGCGTGGAATCACGGATGAAAAGAGATTTTGGGCAAAGTTGGCACGAGACTTAAGGGGATGGGATGGTCTCCAGAGATTCATAATGAATCGTATTAATTAACGTACTAATACCTTGTACACCTGATAGATGAGGTAGCCGAATCTGTTGATGAATAATTCATCGATTTTTAAAAGCGATCGAAAAGATGAAACGTTTCGTGTTTATCGTGGAGGAAGAGATTCCAAAAAAAAGAAAATATCAATCCGTTACGTCCGCTCAGAGACAACAGATCTTTCCGTGTCCAAACCCTTTCTAATTTCAATTCGCTTACAAGGCGTCCGTTTTTAAGAAAAATCCTTCTTATTAACCCGCAAAACTTCCTATCTCCTCCCCTAAAGGTAACGAACTTGCAAACTTCGAAAAAGCCTGGATCGAGCGCTTTGTGCCGTTATGTTAATACTTCCCTAGCTGGCAGAGGTAACGGCGAGTGCAACGCTGCGTGTCGGCCACCCGATCGGCTGCGATCATTGTTATTAAACGTGCCGGCCCGTGTATTATCGCGTGGAACGATCGTCGCCGCATCTGAGCTCTATAACGGTCCCCCTCCCCTTTCCTCGTCGATCGTACGCGGGCAGCCACCGCGTCCAAATCTGTCAGTGGGTCACCATCGTTCGTGCGCCGCTCCTCGCGCGAGTTTCCAACGGAGCCGACCTTGACCGCCATCGTGGCCGTAACACTCGATGCATTTGGAAAATGGGCGGAGAGAGGAGGGAAGGGAGGGAGGATTGGTGAAACGATCGAAACACCTTTAAAAGAAGAGATCGTGGCGCGAATTTTTTTTTTTTTTAATTCTTAAGATGCATCTGAGATGTGGTTGCTGCTTCTCTTCGAATCGGTCGCAACGAAGAGGAAGAGTCAACTTGTACTTTATGGTACAAGTTTATCTCGTTCCTCTCTCAATTTGAATAAAGATATACGTGTATATGTTAATTGATATACGATTATTTGCAAGTAATCTTGTCTATCCAATTTTATTTGAATATATATATATATATGTAGTACTATCTGCATAAAACAATTTTGTAAAATTTCTACGTCCAAATCTATCCACTTGCAAATATCCAATTTTATTTTGTGAAAATAAAAGATACATATGTTGGAGTTACAATCGTTTCGACGTACAATAAATCTACGTAAAACAATTTTATAAAATTTCTCCATAGTCCAATTCTATCGATCGTGGAACCTCAACTACTTGCGGATATCCAATTTTTATTTTTAGTCAAAACTAGATATACTAGAATTACAATCGTTTCAAAGAAATAAATCCACGGTAAAACAATTTTAACGAATAATTTTTCTATTCCTTCAACTCGATTGACAAAGTTTCTTCATCCAAATCCGTGGGAGCAAAGTATTCACCGCTACGATTCACACAAAAGTGCGTGTCTCGCCACGTGGTGTGCATCCTCGTTACGTTACGTCCCGGAAGTGGGCGTCACGCGAGGTCGTTGGCGAATTCCTTTGGATTTACGGTACACCTAATCAATTCGAGAACGATACTCGCGTGACGTGTACAACACGCTCGCTACGACGACGCGAAATCCGCGAGAAGAACAACGCGCTCGTCACAAATAACGGTAACGGTACTTGGCAACGTGTGAAAGTCATTTTCTCGCCGGGTGGAAAGCGATCGATAATCATCGCTAAATACAATTACGAACCTATTATCGTTTAAGAGGAAGAAGAGGAAGAAGAAGAAGAAGAAGAAGAAGAAGAAGGAGCGAGCGGAGAGGAAAGTTGGCGAAGAGAAAGGAGGGAAGAGTTTGTCGAAGCGAGATTCGGCACGAATTGGATGATCGTTGCACTTTTTTCCCAGCTTCATCCGTACGGGTTACGGTAGGCTAGATAGGGAGGACCTTGTTGATAGTCGTTCCTGTGAGACGGCCACATTTCCTCCCCGTATCCTGTGGACAAGAATTTTGATCGAGTTGAATAAATACGGAAATATTTTATATTAATTTTGTGGCGTGCATGCACGTGGTTATTATTGTTACGAGAAAAGTAATATTTTAAAGAGGCAAGCTTATTTTAAGGAGGACAGATTATTCCTAGAGAACGTTACGCTCGACTAATCTCTCTTCCTTTTTTTTTTTTTTTCCATATTCCAGAAAAGAAAAGATGTGCAATTACGCGCGGAAATCACTGCGATCGGAATATCACTGGAATCGTTTCTCGCCCATCAATTCCACGCCGAGGGATCATCGAGTGTTATATAACTGTAGTTTACGATCGAGAGAAGTATTGTGTCATCGCGATTTATTTCGACCAATCGTCACGGTCGTGTAACAAAACGGCCCGCGTAATCGTGCCACGTAATAAAATCGTGATTTACGATTTTACGATCGTTCCAAAACAACGAACCGTGAGGAAGGTGAAGAAAAATGCGTGGATTTCCATTTACCTGACGGATAATCGACCGGCGCTTCGGCGGCTGTGCTCCACAAGTGGTGGGGGTAAGCTTGATGATAGGGCTGCGACATTTTGCAGATCTTGAGACGCGTGAACAGTATCGGGAGGAGGATCGACGCGATCACTAGAATCTTTTTGATGAAGTGAACGGCGAGGAAGATGGGCACGATCCAAAGTTTCAGCTTCATCAATTTGAACAGGATCAAGAGGGGGAGGATCAGTGCCTTCTTGTGCTTGATCCCTCTCCAAGCAGCTGTATGGAAAAATTGAGAAATAATATTATAAAGGTATATATTAAAATTTTAAAAATATAGAAAAAAGAACTCGGCAAATATATTATTCACCTGTTTATCGAAAACATTGATTGTAATTTTAAGTCGATCTGCTCCATGAATTATCCATGAATAAATATTTAATTAGCTGCAGTATATATAGATAGGTAGAAAGGTAGCATAATAAATTGTCTTTTAATTGGATGGAACGAATTAATGAAATAATTACTGTCTCTAAATTATTTAAATTTTTAGTTAAAATTCTAAAATTTAATCACTGGGACGATAAGACCCTATTGAATTTTATTTAATTTATTATTTATCTAGTTCTCGACGATTTTATTTTTAAAGTCGATAAAAGAATTTTTAAAATTCTCAATTTCTATAAACTCTTCATTTAATTCGTTGTCCATTTGTTTACAGTTGTTCGTTCAAGCAAATTACCGTCGGATATGCCCCTGGTCTGCATCTGGACGAGTTGATCCTCGTCCACGATCATGGGCATCGCGGCGAAACTCCTTGCCGAGGAGGCCGTGTTGTCGATCGTGTAAACGAAGGCACGTTTCGCAATGAGATCCTCGGCCGTGTCCCTGGCGAAGTTCAAGGCCTCCATTATGCCGCTCTTGAACACGCGGGACTCGGGCAATTTCGGGATAACCGGTTGCTGCGACAGTGACGGGATCCTGATGATGCGGATCGCGCCATACTTGAATTCCTGGTTCGAATCAAATTATTATTATTGCGTACGATAAAAACGAACGTTAAAAATCAACGAATAAATAATCGTTGGATGGTGTTTTAAAATTGTTGAAAAGGAAGGAATGATCGGTAAATTTTTTCGAAATAAATGGCGCGAAATGAAAGATTGGCGTGTCGATTCGATTGTTGTGACATGGTATTAAAAAGTAAAAGTCTGAGGAAAAGTAAGACAGGGGGATCGTGTGTCCGATACTCTCGCCGCTGCACGAACGCTGGATTATAATAACGGTTTGTAGTAGCGAAATCGCGATGCATAGTGTCACGATCAGCTGTCGTTAATTTTACACGAAAATAATGGAATCTTGTGGAAAAGATTGCTTCGTTTTCGAATGATGAATAATGAAGGTACACACGACTTTTTTCATCCGGAACTGGTGCATGAAATTTCTTCCGAAAATTCCTCTCTTTCCTTTTTTTTTTTTTTTTTTTTAACTAGTCGCTTATTTAACGCCACGCGATTATTTCGAATTGAATAAAAAATTTGTGTCCCAATTTGTGATCCTACCTTCTCCCTCGCGATGTCGTTCAACCACCTGACGACCCTGAACTTGCCGCAACTTATAAGATCCTTGTGCACCGCGCAATCAGCTCGGCATCTCTCGACGTACGTCGAGTTACCGCTGCTCGAATTGAAAATGTGAGAGGACGCGCTCGACGAGAGACAAAGGATGATCACGAATAAAGCGCAGCCAATTCGATGGATTCGATTCGAAACTTGGCACTTGTTGATGACTCCTCGATCGAAGAGCGAAACGAACAACACCATTGTTCACGATTGTTTTCTTCGTTTTTTTTTTTTTGTTACACCAATTTTTCTCGACGGATTTCCCTTTCCACTCGAATTATCTCCGAGCAAATCGTTTGTCCGTTTCTTTCGAAAGGATTTTGAGATTTTGAGACGCACTCGCCAAGCAAACACAAGCAGGATGATCGAGATTAAGTCCACTCGCTATCTGCTTCAGCGAAGAAGGTGTGTTGACCATTTATATCTGGTGCATTTAGGTCGGTGGGGGTACCGGTCCATGGCTTAGATAATCTTGCACAGAGACTGGAGAGCTTGATTCTGCTCGCACACTTTGTGAAAAGGCGAACGATCACGACAGGATAAGATAAACTTCTGAGGATGAGGATGAATTCGCAAGTTTCTGAAAAAACTGCGTGCGATTCGTTGCTTTTCGGGTGAATTGAATCTGCTTTTTTGCGCAATTGAACGGGGAGGTGGGGGGGGGGGGGGAATCGTATGGAGATTATTATTGTTGGAAGTTGAAATTGGAATTTGGAAAGAGTTTTGATTATTTTTAATTTAATAATCGTTCGTAAAAGACTGTATCGATATTTCATTTAAATTGTGTATGATTGACAAGATAATGTGGAGCAACTCGTCTAGGATCCAACGTGCAAGAAAATGGAATTCAATCAGCCTCTTTCCGCGACCGGTTTATACCCCTATACCTGTTTTTCTAAACTACTTTCAATCGAATTAAATTAATTAAGTTGTATTGCATATAATTGAAAGATGGCGTTTAATAATTTCGAGATTATTTTTTATTTAGAAATCGAAGAAAATAATATATTATTTTGTTTTCCATATGAAAGGAGAAGAAAGAAAAAGAAAGGAGAGATTTGAAAATCTGTGAAAATTAAAGAAAAAAAATTTATATTTAACGATTCGAAGAAAATTGCAACTACAACTACACAAGGAAAGGAATTATGCCTTGAATATGAAAATCGTAATAAAAGTGTTAACGACACGGTAAACTCGAGGTCAGAGAGTAAAAAGATTCAAATTTCGTGTCGATTCGAGGAAGGAAAGAAAAGAAACGATCACGATTGTTGACGATTATATTGGACGATACGCGAGGAGAGCAGGAAGAGGTTTTGCTGCAAGCTTTCTCGTTCCTTCTGAATCTTTACTTTTGCTTATCTAACTGGTCGTAATCAGTGGCATAGATTTTCTTAATGACCCGTAACATCTTTGAGATCTCGAACATTTTTACGATACGGTTTCTGTAAACGAGCATTATAAGATTCAGTTAAAAGAAAAAAAAAGAAAAAAGAAACAAACTAGTTTAGTGGTCGTCGATCAAATCTTGTTATCCTCGCAAAATATTCGTAATTACGTGTAATATTTTTCTTTATTCGTCCATTTCCATCAATACTCGAGTACCAAACGAGTATTCCCTCTTACTTTTCCAAGACTCGAAATTCTTCGTCTTTTGTGGAAGGAGGGAGACAATTTTATTTTTCGTCCATCAATTTAACCACTCGAAAATTCTAATCAGAAAGGGAAGGAAATCAAATAGTGTTAACGATTAATCGAATCTTCACTCTCGAGATTAATCTATTCAATCTTAATCGCTGTTAATCTCTTCTCTTTTCAAAGATTTTTTTTATTAATCGAATTTTTTATTCAAAATATTCCAAACGTTCTATATATATATATAGAAGTGAAATTCTTCTTGAAAAAAGAGTCATTAGATAAAAGAACACATAAATTGTGAAGCTGAGAAAAATTCGAAGAGACTGGAACGATGAATTTTATTTTCACGCGTATCGAGCTATTACTCTTAAACACTTTCTTACGTTCTTTCGGCCTCTACGGGATAAATCGGGATTAATTAATTCTCCGCTTCTCTATTTTCTACGCCATTGACTACGCTGCAAATCGAAAGAAATATATCGTATTTCGAGTTTTATTTGGATTTCTCGGCTAATGTATATTCTCTATTTTTTGTATCCTGCTTCGACTTCTTACGAATAAAATGTTCAATTGCTCCACTCGTCGACAATCTTTATTAAACAATGTTAATAGTTCGTAATATTTCACGTTTCTTTTATTTAAGTATATAAGTGCGTGATATTTGTAGTATTCTTTTAAACTAATAATTTATAGACGACAGACATTTATAATTTATTTAAACGTTGCAAATTATTAATTATTAATTTATTATTATTCATTATACAATCAATCAAAAATTGAATGAATATTCCTTTTTTTTTTTTTTTTTTTAGAAACTCAGAACAATGTCGTTTCTAGAAAGAAAAATGTTTGATGGGATCAAACGAGCCGGATGTGAATAAAAATAAATAACTATTGGTACGAAGAATTGATAAATAAACAGGTTTATGGAATTCATCGATAAATCAAGGAAAAAGTGGAAGCAGAACGAGCACGAGTTTGACTTTAGATATAAAAATCAAGCCTCGTCTGATGTCTGGAAGGCAAGAATCCTTGGACGCGCCATGTCCGCAACTATGTATGTAACCTGCTTTACAATTATGTTTTTTTTTTTTATCGACCCACTTTTGTAATTGTCCACAGGATACGACGATAATCCAGTTTGACCATCACTGATACCCATCCTGCAAGGATGGAAAAAGAATGAATATTTCATTCTCTTCTCTTGGACCCGATTGATAAATGATTTCTATTCGGTTAACGAGAAGAGAAAATTGTGAATGAGATTGTTCGATCGATTGTGTTAATTGCAAAAATTAACCGAATCGATTAATATATATAAATTCGTCTTTATAAAATTCAGATTTTTTTTTTTATGTGTGTGTCATCAATCAAACGTAAACAAACAAGTTTCTATAAAAATTAGAATAATTCGAGAATGGAATAAGGGCAAGATCAAATACAAATTACAAATAATCCGTAATCGTATAGTAAGTAATAAAATTAATGATCGTATCTAATCTCTTAAATCGTGATAAGCTTGTAACCGAAGCTTATGCCGTGTTCACATTGGTTTTGTAATAACGACTCGGCCATTTCTATTAATATATTATTATTAACGCGGGCAAACATATATCAATCGGATGTTCAAGTTGATATAACGATCATAACACGTTAAACACGATACGAGTGAAATAATATTACGAGATAATATTACCATAACATAAGCGAGACGATAAGCGAGAATTATTTAAAGAATTATGCCATCGATAAATCTTGGACAACAACAACAAAGAAGATGAGATAAATAGGCAAACTAAAAACAAATCGCCTCTTTCGTAGAAATCCGATAAATAAATAAACATCAACGATTAACGAAGCCTTAGTGGATGCCTTTCTTCTTTTCTTCTTTCCCCGAAGAAACAATGTCACGACGATTTCCTCCCACGAAGAAACGTAAAGAAAAAAAAAAAAAGAAGAAAGAATTGACGTCAAACGAGACCGCGCCACATTTCACGGAAACGTTCAATCAAAACGAATCAACGAATTGGAAATAATCATAAAAAAAAAAAAAGAAGAATAAAAATAACAAGTCCTCCTGCTTTGCGTATAATTTGCGAATAATTTCATTGTTTCGAATAAAGTCGAGCCAAGTCGTTAGAAAATATCGTGGAAAGAAAAGGAGGAGAAGGTTCGTCGTCATTCACGGTTCACGTGTTACGTCTTCGAATGGCCTCCATTTCGCGGCAACGATGCGCCATAGATAGATCTGGTATGCATCGATTGCATACGCGATCCATAAACACGATAATCCTGCTGGTGAAAGTATCGATAATCGTTGAATCCTTCCGGAATAAGAAGGATCGTTTCATTTTTATTCCCATTCGAGGCGATCATTATGAAATTATGGGGGAATCGTGGTTAAACTCGTGGCGAAAGAAAAAAATAAATAAATGCTCGTAAATATGGTGAAACCGATCGGGTTCGTCCCTCCGTTGAACTTGGAGACACGTGTGAAAATTTCACGGCCTGAATACCGCGTCGTAAAAAACTTGTCTCCTGTAAAAAAAAAAAAAAGAAAAAATATGGATCCGGATTATTGAAAAAACAGAACCTCGAGAACCTAGAGTGATTATCGATAATTTTTAACTTTAGAAACTAGAGTGGCTACGTTGGAGTATTTTTTCCTTTTATCGCGTTGCTGGGTTTTTTCTTTTTTCTTTAAATTAAATCGAATTATTTTAAAACAAGTTTTCTGAAACAATTTTTCATTCCCCTAGACTCACTTCTGTTCGATGATGATAAATGATCAAATTTTTCAAACGTCGATATGGCTTTATCGAATTGGCATAATTTCACTTTGTGCAACGAGCAATCCAACGAGGTATTATATAGTATCCAGGGCAGGATATTCGATAAGACATTGACGTAACCAACTGGTTTGGTGATCAACTAATTGATTTTTCTAATCGTCCAAATCATTTGCGAGTAAAAATTTCTATTGTTAAGGAAAACGTTAAATTAAATACAGAGACTTAATACGTGTATATTTTTTATTATTTTAACAAAAACTTGGAAAGCCAAGAGCACGGTTAATACGGTTCTTATAATGAATACCCTATTTAAGCTTCATCAATCTAATCGGCCAAAGTTTTGCCGGTAGAATTAACAATCACGTTTAGACAATGGTGGCGGACGCCGCTCATAATGTTGCAAATTACAATTTTCTTGCCTTTCGTTTTCGATTTCAATTGCGCGGTGAACGTGCCATGAACAAGTGGGGCAACGTGGAGATGATCGAAAAGCCTGAGAGCCGACGCGTTTTGACACAATCAAAAAGACGAAAACGTTTAATTATAAATTCCGAACGGCGATATGCAACGGCGTACGGCCTCGATTCTCTCGATTGAAGGAAAAATATGCTGCGTGTAACTGAAACTGGACTGCAACAGGACAGCGCAATAAATGTGTAAGATAAGACATTTCTGGCCTGGAAAGAGCACGTGCCGAGCCACGTCGCTCCCTTTCGGTTATTAATCTCTGCTATAATTTTTAACTATTTTTTTTTGCTATTTTATATCTTTGTTGCGCAGATATAAGGAAGAATCGAATAACTGAAATGAAATTCACGACACGAATTTTTACGAATCGGTAATTCATCTGTGAATAGAGAAAATAGAGTAAGAAGGATGGTGGAGAGAAAAGGTAAAAGAGAAATGGAGCGAGATGAAACGATGAAAAATGGAGGCATTTGGTGTTATGAGATTTTTTATTTCCGATGGACAAATAAATATTGGCTTTAAACTTTATTGCCTCGAATTGGATCAATGTTTAGAAAGTTTTCCGATTGATCGTATCGCAATTTTGATTAATTAATAAATTGACATTATAAAATCGAGAGTAACGTTTCAATTCATTCCCTAAGAAGGCCGCGTCTTCGTTCATTTTTTTAATTATCAAGAAAAAACGATAAGATACTGTCAATCCATCGTAAAAAGGCATCAAAAACTGGACGTATACATATATATATATATATATTATATATATAAAGTTTATCGAATAATTGATTTCAATTTACTGCGATCGATTTTCATTTGTAACGTGGCGTTAACTAAAAAAAAAATTCAAATAAAATAAGCAATAAAATTTGATAGATCGTGATTTAAAGGTTAGTAGCATAACATATCATCTGACTGCATCTAGCGTTTATTATATTATCGTGCCATGAAATGTAATGGGAACAGGAGCGGGGGGGGGGGGGTTTAAACGAACAAAAGAACAATACGATATTTCGAGACAAATTTCAAACACTCGTAATATCATTACTCGAAACTTGTATTTTTATGGAAATGACGCGTTGCTCCATCTGTTGAAGGGTTGAAGAAACAGAAATTAAGGGTACACAATCCTTCAACTTTCGAAACAAAAATAAAATATCAAATTTTGGACTGAACTGCCACCACCCTAAAAAGAGATAACAAAATTTACAACACACTTTACGTACAACACAACCGTGTTTGTTATATCTTTCGAAACCGGACGAACGAACAAAAAATTCCAAATTCCAAACTGATAAAGTGTCACCATCTCTTGGCGGAGGAGGTAAGCTGGGCGTCGTGGTGGTCGCGCAGGCGTGCAGGCGTTATCGATAACAGCATCGAAGGGGGTGAGAAGCGGGGTAGATAGAGAGAGAAGTATCGGGATCGAAAGGTCGAGCAAGCTGGCGATGGGGCGATATCGCGTTGTGCAACGGTTCGATTCAGTCGCGGGCGTGCGAGACGCTTGAGCGTCCTCTCTCGAGGATCAGCCCGTATGAAATCGTCCTCACGTCTTAGAATCGAGGCGAGCGGAGGAGACTGCCGCAGGCAAAGAACCTGGTAGGGCCGCGTGGTGGGGTTGCGTGGCCGTGTGTGCGTGTGGCAGAGGGAACGAAGGAACAGGTGTGAGAGAGAGGAGCCGGTGGGAGAAGGAACGAGGAGTCGCAGGAGTTGGCAAGATGTCGAAGGATAGAATCGACATCGAGAAACCGTATTGGGATCAGAGCACGTACAGGGGTAGGGCGCTTCACTTCCTCGCTGTGACGAACCCTTTGAATCTGTTTGCCACTGGCAGACAGCTGGAGAATGCACGAGACGTGGTCACCAAATACAGGTAATTATCCACCCACGATTGAGTTTTGTTCGAATATTGACGAGACAATTGTTATACAGGAAAGGGGATAGTCTGGCGGATTTGAAAATCACGGAGGACGAGTTGTGGAGATGCAAATACTTGTACGACAGCGCGTTCCATCCCGACACGGGAGAGAAAATGTTTCTCATAGGACGGATGAGCGCTCAAGTACCGATGAACATGATGATCACCGGCTGTATGTTAACGTTCTACAAGTGCGTGCTGAATTTTTACGTTAATCTTCGCGAAGATTGTGATATGAAAATTCGATTGGGAAAATTGGGACGATTTTGTATCGGTTTATATCGGTGGCATTGAACCGATAAACATTCGTCGGACCTTTCACCTTTTGCCAACTATCGAATCACGCTTATATTTATTTGTTGTAATCGTGTTACAAGAGAGAGAGAGAGAGAGAGATACATAAACATGACTAATCAATATGCGAAAAAAATTTAATTCAAATTTATCAACGTTGCAACGTAGATTTGCACACGGAGATAATAAGAATTTTTATCACAATTCTTAATAGTTAAAATATTTAATTTTTTTGATTTTTGATCCAGAACAACAACGCACGTCATCTTCTGGCAATGGGTGAACCAGTCGTTCAACGCTATCGTCAATTATACGAACCGTAGTGGATCGAGTCCGATTCCCATACACACGCTCTTGCAAAGTTACGGTATCGCAACTGGAGGAGCTGTAATAACAGCCCTCAGCCTGAATCGACTATTCCGGAATGCACCACCTATGGTGTGTCGATTGGTACCGTTCGCGGCAGTGGCCGCTGCCAACTGCGTAAATATTCCCTTCATGAGGATGTTGGAGCTCCAAAATGGTATTGAATTACAAACAGAGAAAGGAGTGAAGGTTGGGAACAGTAAACGTGCCGCTAAAAGGGCGATTGCCGCTGTTACTCTGTCTCGTATCCTTATGGCCGTACCGAGCATGAGTAAGTTTTAATCAAACGTTACGTTGGAATTATATATTATGAAACTTTCATCTACTTCTATATTGGAATAATACAATATTTTGTGTGTATTTTTAGCATTGGTGCCCTTCATAATGAATATAATAGAACGGCGAAAATTGTTGTGCGAGATGAAATGGGCTGTCGTACCTATACAAGTTTTACTTTGCGGGATTTGCTTAACATTTGCCACGCCTCTTTGTTGTGCGTTATTCGAGCAACGAGTAGCTATTTCGGTAGACGATCTGGAACCAGAAGTACGGGAACAAATAGTCTCCAAGTATCCTAATCTTCAAACAGTGTATTACAATAAAGGTCTTTGAACGGATTTAAATATCGAAATACTGCCAAAGAAAGCGTGCACGATTG